CGAGGGGTGGGGGGGGGTGTACAATGGGGGTACATCCAGTAGCCCCCACCGATCCTCGTTCTCAAACACATTATCCCACATCCATCCGACTCTCTTCCTCCCTCTTCATGCTGCATGGGAACCCGAGACGGACCAGCAACACCACCCAAGTTCATTTGCGCCCTTGTTGCACATGCGCATGCACAAACACACACACACACACACACACACACACACACACACACACACATATGCACACGCGCGCACACACACACGCACACACGTCTCTGAAGAGGGGAGGTCATTATAGAAATTTAGTACCACTCTCCAAGAAGGTTCACTTTTTGCCAGTCATAAACAGAAGACATGCCTGTAGCAATTTGACAAAATGTCTGCCCTTTATTATTTGGAGCGAACTAACAAATCTAAATACACCAATTATAATTTGGTACACACCCACATGCAAATCATCAAATAAGGCAAAAATGGCAACACCCCAACCACAATTAGTTTGGCAGCACGGCTCACTATTTGGCGAGCGGAATGTTGTTGTTGAATGGCTTGTAGCAGCTTGTTAAAGAGGAGTCTTTATTAACGAATTAGCAAATGACATAAAGAATAAATAACCGCGTCAATAACTGTAGCCTTATTGCAAAGAACAATTCGATATTTCATGTCAACATGTGGCCAAGTCAAGTGTTCAAATGGAACACAAAATGGCAGCCCTTTGCTCTTTATAACGAACAAATCTAAATATGTAAATTATGGTTTGGTACACTTTCACATACAAGAACGGGAACCCCCTAATGACAGTTTTGGCAGCAGGTCTCACTATTTGGCAAGCGGAATGTTGTTATTGAATGGATTCTAGCTGCTTCTTTAGGAGGAGTCTTTAAGAACTAATTAGCAAATGACTTTTAAAAAACATTTCTAACCCCAACAATAACTGCGGCTTTATTGTAAAGAACTTGTGAATATTTCAAGGTCAACATGTCAGGAAAAATGCCAGCAAGGCCTTCATAAATGGAACACAAGATGGCTGCCCTTTGCTACTTCTAACTAACTAATAAATGTACTTAAATTGTAGTTTTCCACATGCCGAATGTGGATTTTGGCAGCACAGCTCACTATTTGAGAGGTGGCGTGTCATAAACAAATATTTGAATGTGAGCATTAAGCCAAGAAAATGTCAGGATGGCCTTCATAAAATTGAACATAAAATAGTTTACCTGTATTGTTTACAAATAAATCCTTCTTCCAAAGACATATGTGCTAGTTTGTCATGTGGCAGTAGCACTTTCATGGAAAAACAATCTCAAAATGCGAAAATAGGGACACCCCGGAGATGTGAATTTGGCAGTACAGATCACTATTTGGCAAGAGAAGTTGCATTGCTTATGATTGGTTGTAGCAGTTTGTTAAGCTGTTCTCATTCAATTGGGAATTTTTTCCACATTCCAACAATTCTGACATTCCCAAATTTCCACTTAAAAAAAATAAATCCCAAATTAGATATAGTTTTCACTTGACATATTTACTGAATCATCGTTCCACATTTCTTGACCAAATTCAAACCATTCCAGTTTCAACTTATTCAGGTCATCTTCGGAATGACTTCCTTTGTCGAAATTCCCACATTTTCGCAGCAGAAGAAACTTTTTATGGCATGACCGCCTCCATAATCCCCGACTGATTCAACCCGTTCCAACATTGAGTCTCACATTTTGCATTTTTGCAAGTGAATTCATGCTACAGCATTTGTGTCTCTTCCATCCCAATTTATGACAACAGACAGCATTTGTCCTTGAATGCTCATGGTTATATTTTACCAGCAGTGAGCTTTAAAAGTCATATTTATTAGATTAAGTCTTCATCCCAAAATTCCTCACTGTGAAAAGCACAATTTGTACTTTATCGGGGCTAAAAGTAATTCAAGGTAGAAAACCTTTCAAATATAAATGATTGACATGAACATAACAATGTCAATTAGCACAACGAAGCAAACACGTTTTTTTTTTTGCTCTAAAACAATTTCCTGATTTTTTTTTTAACTTACATCTTTACGTTGGGGCACAATACAACCAAGAGTTAGTTCTGTCAACTCTTAATTATTTCTTAAAACTTCAAATAGTTTGTTGAATTGCCCAATGTAAAAAAATGTACCAGTTTGTTGACTTGAAATTTTGAGCCACTCAACTTTTTTTTTTTTGAACAGTACTGCGGATGGATGACAAACAGACAAATAGCAAACAGTTGAGTTGACCATTTTGAATCAACCCATCAATCAACGGTCTCTGATTGGCTCCTATCCAACCACTACCAAACCAATTTCACTCAAATAATACAACTTTTACATTCTAGCAATTCGTTTTCACCATGATACATTTTTATGAAATCCACTAGATTTGCTCAAATTTAGAAACTGCGCTGTCCTGCACGTTTTTCGATGTTTCCCCTCCTCGAACACAGCGGATTCAAAAGATCCGGATCCTAGTGTCTTCTTCATGTTGTCCCCTTGAAATCTTGAAATTTGCGATATGCGATATGACAACGAGTGACGAGGAAACGGCAGCTCGGAGATCCTGCCCGGAACCTGTTGTGCGCGCGCACGCACGCACGTCTCCACGAGTGCACGCGCACCGGACGTGTCCCAACCGCGTGCTTTTGTTCACTGTGTCAAAATGGCTCACGCGCACGCATTCACGTGCACAAACGCACGCTCACACACACACAATAGATGATTAAATAGGAAGCAGCGACTGGCTCACATTTAAAGCGTAATTAAAAGCATTTATTTTGCAGCTTGTGTCCCCCCCCCCTTCCCCACCACCCCAGGACCACCACCTCCCCAAAAAGTGTGTGTACCCTTCCCTTGCACCCTCCTTGTTAGTCTCACCTTCTTGAATGATCCACGCTTGCATCCAAAAGCTCCTTTTTTGGGAGGGGGTGGCAGTGTAGAAGTGTGTGTGTGGGGGGGGGGTTATACTCAGCTGACAGTCTGACGACGACCACGTGCGTACAGAGGCAAAAATTTAAAAATGTAAAAAAAAAAAACCCAACCATATAAATAATAATATTAATTCTTACAATCGAAAATCGTGGAAAATAAATCATTAGGTGTCGTTTTGAGGAAGACACGCAAAGCCAACATGGCGGCGTGAAAAATCTCCCACGCCACACAGAGTGATTACAGCCGCAATTAGAAAGTCATTTGCATATATGCTAATGCGGGATAAAAAACATGTGCTTAGCCGCCGGAGGGAAATGATCAGTTCCCCCCATTCCTTCTTTGAAGAGCTCAAATCTGCTGTGTGATATTGATGATTATTATGGCCTTTAAGGAACATTTTCATCTAAATTCGTCCTTTTAGGTCACAAAAAAATCTTCATTATATGTATTTCAATTCCTTGAAGTTGGTGGAAAAAAACGTTCTGTTTTTTTTTTTGTTGTTCTCATTTTGTGTGGGGAAAATCTAGTGGAAAAAGAGGATGAATGAATAATGTATGTTCTGTTGGTTTTAATTAAAGATGATTTTGTTTTCAATATGGCGACTCGATTTCACCAGGCAATAATTGTAGAAAATATTAAAATACGATTTACCAAAGGTTTATATGTTTTTATGGTCTTCATCAAGCTTCTTCGTGTGAAATTAATTAGTGACCCTTCATTTTTGTGCGCATGCGCACTTGAGAAATCGGAATGCAGTTTTATTAATTTCTTGCGTTTAGCAGTTAAACGTTATTTTCTTCTCCTCCACAAAAAAAAAAACTGCCCAATATGTATTTGAATGTTTATTTTCAAATGTTCACGATGTTGGCGTGAATTTCATTTTAGGCTGCTGCATCACCAATTGAAATAAAATAACACTCACGCCAATCTCACGTCAGAGTAGAGAGATAACGTAAATGGATATTTCATTAAAAATATGAAACGTTCTTTTGCACTATTAATTTGATATGTATTTGCTTCATTATTACAGCAAAGTATACGCTGGCTGCCTTTAAAATTTTGACCAATGAGACAATCATACATACCAATACCACTTATTAATAAATATTAATAAAGGCACTTTTTAAAAAAAATACACATCATATTCGAATAGAATTCTATCGTATACCTAATAAAGTGACCACAATGATATCTTCCTCTTTGCATTTTAAATTAAGCTTTTATATATTTATTTATTGATCTATTGATCTATTTATTAATTATTTTTGGGGGTTTTACGGTTCCTTCATTCCTCGTGATTCCTAATCAAATATCCCTGGATTGGTTTATTTGCCCCCCCCCCGCCCCACCAACTATTTACATCTCATTTGCATATTTCTCTGACGCACCCGGGCTCAGGTGTGAGGATCACGTGACGAAGAACAGGAAGATTTAATTAGTCATTAATGAACGTCAAGCCGGAAATGTGTCGTGCTTATTTGCATCCAAAGTGGGTCATAGTCGATCGCAAGATAAAGAGGAAAATAAAATATGTTTTTCGTATTCAACCTTTCCTGCTTCAAATTTTTTTTTAATCTCAAATTGAGGTCAGAAACTGGAATTAAATATACAGTTGTAGACATCGAATGTACATTTTATGTAAAATTAGGGGGAAGTGCAAAAAAATTACTTTTGAATTCCCCTGAGCACAATATGTCATTCAAGGATTATGTTTTTCCCACCCTCAAAATGTAATAATTCACGTTTTGTTTCTACATGGATGAGGTGAAGTAATTTACGTTGCTCAGTTTAGTTGTTGTTGCCTTTTTTGCTTGGCGTTTTCTTCCCTTTCTTTAGTGTTAATTTGAATTTAAAAAGATGAAATAAATTTTCTTTATTTGCACGGTTGGAACGTCCTTGTGACGTTTTGTCCAAATTAATTAGGGGACGTCATGTGACATTTTTCAGGTGCGTCGCTTCATGTATTTCGCCTTTTTCGTGCTCTTGAATGTATTCAAAGAATAAATGAAACGTCCCTTTGAAGAAAAAATAAAAGGAAGATTTTGCATCTTTCAAATGTCCCCTCACGATGGGAAAAATTCACTCGTCATGTTTGATTTGAGTGAACATTCACGCACACAGGCACACGCGCGCGCGAACACACACACACACACACACACACACACACACACATTTTCATGCAGTATCCCACGATGCAAGTTACAATGGAAGTAATTAATATGCACATAAATTAAAAGTGAGACGCTTTTTCCCCCTCCTTCTTTAAGGGGTTAATTTCAGGAATGGGAAAGAAAGAAAGAAAGAAAGAAAGAAAGAAAGAAAGAAAGAAAGAAAGAAAGAAAGAAAGAAAGAAAGAAAGAAAGAAAGAAAGCCTCTGTCTATGAAAACGAAGAGGAGGAGGAGGATGAAGAAGAGGAGGAAAAAAGAGGAACTGGAGGAGGAAAAGAAATGGCCCACATTGCATTCACACGTGTGCTCGAAGTTTACATTCCATTTCAGTTTCCCCACTTTTGTTTCCAGGATGAAGATGAGTCATAATCATCATCATCATCGTTATCGAAATGATCAGCATACAATGCACGTCGTCTTAATTAATCTACAATTTTTACCCGACACAAGAGACCTGGTTCTAATATTTTGACCATTCTTTGGCACTAAATAAGGTGACAAAATATTTGGAACAGCCCTCAGAACGAAGTGCAGTCAGACAGTTATATTGTCAAAGTACAGTTATATTGTTTAAGATACAAGTTTATTTTTAATAATTATTGTTATTTTTTATTACTGTCTTTATGAAGGCTTTTTTTTTAATTTAGCATATCTAATGAATTGTCCAGCCTATATATTCACATTTCCTTGCCTAAATGAACATGAACAGTGAAGCAAAATATGGGAAAAGAAATTTACTGTTATGGATCAATCTAATTAACAAAACCAGTGACCAGGTAGACCAGAAGATGATTAAAATTATGGTGCTTATATATTTTTTTAAGAACGGTCTGGTTCTGATGAGACGATGACTCAGGTTTTGCGCTGTAATGTAGAAGAGCGGATCCAATGGCCGGACACGGTGCGTCATCTGCAGGACAGTTGGTGGCACTGCAGGGACTTCATATTGGTAGTCCTTTGTCTCTCTCTAGCGGTCGACTTTGAATACTACAAGTTCAACTGTAAAATATATATTTTTTATATTACCAACCTAAAATGTTTTTCACATTCAATTATAATAATTTAATTCACATCGATTTATTCATTTTCTTTAATAATATTTCTCTTAAGTGCACTTCTTCTAGTACATGAATGTGTTGGATTATTATTATGATTGTTATTATTAATTTTTATTTTTTGTCCAATCAGATTTCATCTTGTATGTGTTGCTGCGTCAGTCTAATCTGTCCAGGGCCTTCTATATCTGTAGTACCTATACTTTGTAATCAACTCATTGTATTCTACTGTACGTAAAAGTTAAATATAACTTATGCGCGACACGAAAAGTAAATTTAAAAAAAAGTAACGTGCCTGCAGGCAACAAACTTCATTTTAATGTTTGCTTGAATTTTATGCCATACTGTTGTGTATGTACATTTTCTTTGTGTTTAATTCAGTAATTATTGCACATGCCACGAGGAAGCCCATATAACGAAAAACATAAGAGGAACATTTTGCATCTTTGAAATTCATGGGAAAAATTCACTCGTGTCATGTTTGATTTGAATGAACACACACACACACACACACACACACACACACACACACACACACACACACACACACAAGATGATTATCGTACAGTACCCTCCCTCCTGCCCGCGATGTTATTTCCGGGTTTGCTGTCTCCTTTTGTCACATATTTCTTTTGTACAGTTTATAACTATGTTTTGTCCTGCCTTCAGGTTTCAATGCCATTGTTGACGACTAGATGGCAGCACACTATTTTTTTTGAAAGAAGAAGAATGAAAACAGGAAGCGTTTCAGCGTACGAGATCACACAGGTTGACGTTGGTTGTTCTATGCATACATGTAGCTACAGCTGCAATTCCAAAATCTCGTGCGCAGCTGAAGTCCATTAAAAATTTTGCTCCGAATGACTAACCATGCTACCATCAAAACTTCTTTAATTAAATTAGATTACCCATCAAAACAAGATGTAATTCATGAAGACCACTGCAAGAACTGCCTCAAACATCAGGACTGCAAATATGAAAGTAACCCACTCTTTACAAACAGACTGGTGCGCCCATCTACACCCAGTCTGGCTGCTAATTTAATGACACTCCGTTTGGTTTCTCAACTCATAAATCTGACTCCAAAGTCAGTGCCTCACCAGCCATGAGCCTCGCCTCATGTCACTGGTCTTCGCCGCCGCCCCCTGAACCTTTCATCCACTTTTTCCTTGACTGTGTGATGCGGCTAATTGCGACGGTTGCACTTTAGTCCCAATTGACGGCCACAGACAAGAGAGGAGAGGAGAGGGGGCGTTTGTTGGCGCGGTTACCATGGAGACCGTCTGCATTGCTAGGCAACCGCAGGGATGCGGTGGAGGCGGAGCGGAAGACAAGCTGCGGGTCTCTCACACACTCGGGCACACGCGCGCGCACACACACACACACACACACACACACACACACACACACACACGCACACACAAAACAGAGAGGTAAATAAAGTCAAGTAATTGCTCACCTGCTGCCTAACATACTGTTAGTTCTAAAGTACAGCTAATTGCTCGTTATTGTTGAGGGGAGAATGGAAAGATAGAAAAAAATGTTTGACTTGAAGACTAAAAATGAAATATAAGAAAAAAAGTGATTATTCATTTTTAGGGCAACTCAATTTTTGTTAAACCAGTTTATTATTGTTATTATTGTTATTATTATTGTTGTTGTTGTGTGTGTGTGTGTGTGTGTGTGTGTGTGTCCGCGCACACACGTCATTAATCTGTCTCCACAAGCCAAATGGTGAGGAGCTGTGCCTAAGTTTCACAGTTGGATAAACAAACACACAGTAAGTTCGTCACTGTGTCCACTTTTTGGGATGTAATGTTTTGTGAAGACAAAATGGGCAAAGTATTGGGACACACAGGTCTTACTCAAAATGTTTAATGAAGCAGAGTGTGCACATTTCTACAGTTGTGTTTGTATATGTTTCTCTAAGGTCTGCTTTTGGTTGTGTGAAGCACATTGAGTTGCCTTGTGAATGAAATGTGATGGCTATGTAAATAAATTCGCCTTGACCTGTTCGATTTCCGCCATTGGTCCTTCAGACTTTTCCATGCACCCTGTCATGGTAGACATGTCCACCCAATTTCATGTTAATTTTTCAAACTGATTCAGAGGCTGTTTTTTTCCTACCTGTCCAGGGGATGCTTCTGAGTGACTTTTGGTGGTTCGTGTTCAGAACTCCTAAATCAGTTTTCACTGGCATGTGCACACTTTCCGTTCCCCAACCCCCCCCAAAAAGGTAAGTTTTTATGGATGTTTTCTGAGCAATAAACATCCACTTAGAGATGTTATGTCGCTTAAAGAGTCATCCTAAACAAATGAGGGCATTGAGTGAGGCAGATGTTCCGACAGGGGGCGCCAAATTACATAGAGTTGTGAAGCAAATCTGCGGAAGTTCTAGTGTAGATTTTTAATGTTTGTAGTACAGTACATCTGAAATTCAGAAATGGAAGTCAACGCACACTTGCCACCATTATAAATGCCTCTTATTAACCCTGATTACAGTTCAGATGTTCTAGAAGGCTTTTCCTGATATTTGTTTTTTGGTCACATCTTTCAGCATCCAGAGGATCTCATTATTCAAATGTATTGTTCAGTTCAGGTCACGGGTACGAAGAAAGGTGGAGGGAATTATGAACCGTTCCAAATTCCCTAACAGTCATTTTTAAAAAGGCTTCTGCTAGAAAGGAAAACATAAGGGAGAAAAAAAAAACCTCTTGAACATGTGAACTTTATCCGTGGTTCTTGATAATTTTGAATGTGATTGATTCATTTTGAATGAATGAGGGTGTGCACACTTCTGCGACCATCTTATTTCAGTTGTTTTATCTCAGGTTACAATTGTTGCACACGTTATTGGTCACATTAAGCGTAGGAGAACGTTTGAAATTAAAAAAAATGAGACCAAGATAAAACTGTCTTGGGCTCTTTTTTTTTTTTTTTCTGTCATTTGAACTGGGGTGCGTAAACTTTTGATTCCTGCTGTGTCTTTCAACAGGCAGATTTTTTTATGGTGTTTTATTAATGAATTGTCCCATACGTCACTACAATATTTCCACTGTTTGTTGTCATTCCTTGTGGTGGCATTTCCATGACCCCGGCGCTCACCGGTGTTCGTTCCCAGCTGCGGGAGTGAGCGTCCAGCTGACTGCAGCAATGGAAATCCATGGCGTAATCTTCTTATGTAAAGCACAAAACACACACAGCGTGTAATCCTTCTTCCAACCTCTTTGGTGATAACACAACTACAAAACTCAGACACTTTGCACATGGGCATTATAAGCAATACAGTATTTTCCACAATAGTTAATGTACATTCCATACCAATAGGTGGCGCTATAAGCTGTCGCTTTATGGTTTGTATGTGTTGTTACTCCGTGTGTTAAAAAAGCAGGTGCTTGAAGGTTTATAATGACCGTTACTTCTATTGTCTAAAAAATAATATGATGTTTAGTTGTCTTTTGGTTTAGGTGTGAGTTTTACACTAAATGTGTGTTTTGACAAGTTTAAGTTTGTGCTATCCATGTTTAAATGTGTTTCAACCCTGTGAAATGGCAAAAACTTTCAATAATTTGTTTTAATTTGGCTTTGCTTTATCACACGTTTTCCACATATCTTTCTTTTTATTGACAATTGGTGTCTTGATTTCAGTTATTTCAGTTTGAAGGGCATTTGTAATACAATTCACAAAATTAAAGTATCACGATGAGCCAAGTTGCTGGGGACGTCATCACGACCGAAGATTACACGTCACTACGAATATATATCTGCTTCTTGTCGAAACCGAAACCAATATTTGTTCAAATATCGTACCATAAAATAATGCATTACACATCTTAAGTCGTTATTATTGCTCGATGCGCGCACGTGCTGCACTGTCAGAACGCACGCCACCAACCCCTCCCCTCCCGGTGCCGTAACGTCATCTCCCCCGCCTTCCTGACCGTAAACACAGTGTTCATCCGCACCGACTTGACAAAGTAGTGCGAGTTTTCATACTTGTCGCCGGTCGTGGTCACATAATAGGAATGTCAAGTGTACCGCCCGGCCAAAGATAAAACTTGTTGGCGACATTAACGCGTATACTATTCGTTTTGTCCACATATGAACATGATGATCATGCAGAAAGTGGCAATAAATCACGGCCAGTAGTTGGTTCGCAATCGCTACTGTCAACTGTCCGCGTCGAGGGTCAACGTGAAGGCCGATCACAGTTAGCCAGCTGGGCGATAAATTTGACCAAGCAGTCTCGGTGGTATCATAACCTGACATTTGTCGTAAATTCGTATAAATGAATTGTTGAGACAGCGTGAGACTCTCAAAGCAAGCGGAGGGATACAAGCCAACCAGAGGTCTAAAACCCCCGCCTACCCTCCCCCCGCTCCACCCCACTTTCGCACCTCACCGACCGCGCCGCCGCCTCCCGATTGGCTCTAACGTCGCAGAACCCTCGCTCCCATTGGCCCAAGGTCACTGTCAATCACAGTGCGACGACGCCCACTCAAGACGGGCATCGGCTCCATTTGCAGCGTAGCTAAATAGTTACGCCGCACGTCAAGTCGGAGACAATTTGATCATTCGCAGCCGGGGCGAGCTCGGCGGGACGAAGAACAGGAGGCGGTCGCGATTTGGGACACTTTGAGCCGGCGTTGGACGCAGCCAGACCACGTTCACCTCCTCCGGTATATGCTGATGCTCCTTTGGCCCGGTAAGTGATTGACTGCTGTTTCTGTCCGGGTTCGTGTCATCGTTTTCGGGGTGAGCATGTGTGTTCGTCTACTGCTTAGGAATGTGCGTGGAAAGCTGGAGGAGGAAGGTAGTTTGGTTTTGTTGTTGTTTTTACTCACGTCACTTTGTTTCAGCGTGGTAATAACAACACGCTCGCGTCTAACTCGGTGCATTTACTTTTATTTACATTTTTAAAAAGTGATGTTTGCTTTCGGGAGTGGGAGGGGGGGACATCTGCCTCGAGCAGCTGGCTTTGATGCATTAAGTAGTAGCATGTCATGGAATACATGCACGAAACTTGTACACTGCATCTTAGCCAGCATCAAAGGCGTGACAGTAATTCGGCTTTTTCTTTAGCTTTACTTAACACCAAATTGCATTCCATATGAATTTAAACCAGAGTATATTTTTGGTTGGGGGCGGGGGGTTGATGTTGTTTACTTATTTATGTAAAAAGTGTCCTTTGCACGTACACATAATTGGGGTTCTATGACAATGAGAGTTTTACACCTTAGCAGACATTTGGTGTTAAGGTTTCACTCTGGAACAGGCAATTTATTGGAGGTTTTGTAAATAGTGGTTCTGTGATGATGATGATGGTGTTTTTTACCCAGGAATGGACAAGTAATGAAGGTTCGATGAAGGCGACAGTTTTACTCTGGTCTGGAAAGTTAATACAGTAAACATTTTAATATGGTGAGCTTTACTTTGGAGCAGACAGTTGGTGGCAGTTTTACCCTGGAATGGACAGGCAAAGAAGGTTGGATAACTTTGAGCATTTTTACCTAAGAACAAAAAATTCCTGTGTAGCTTTGTCCGGGAACGGACAGTTAATGATCGTTCTGCAACGGTGACAGTTTTACACTGGAACTGACAGTAAGTGCTGGTTCTGTGATTGTGACAGTTTGACCCCAGGAATGGACAGTTAATGAAGGTTCCACAGTGCTGAACATTTGACCTTTAAACAAACTAGTAATGCAAGCACTGGTGATGGTGACATTTTGACTTTGCACCCAACAGTTTGTAAAGTTTTCAAGTGTTACCAAGTTTGACCCCGGAAGAGACAGTTACCTTAAATGAAGGTCGCACGATGGCGATAGTTTTACCTCACCGTGGTTGGGTAATGGAGGTTTTACCCTGGAACTGACAGTTAATGGACAGTTTGACCCTGAAAGAGACAGTCAATGGAGATTTTATAACTGAGGCGAAGAACAGACTGAAAAAACTTTCTGAGCCCAATTCTGATGAATGGCCGATTAATTAACACACTATATTGTGATGAAAATACGTTTTTAGTCCCTTAAATGAATGAATGAATGAATGAATTACCGGCCGAACATTTGACTGTTTACAACAATTTTTTGGGGGGGCAAGGGGGGCACTTATTGTTTGAATGTCATTATTTTTGTCTTGTGTTGTAGTGTGGTAAATGTCATAAACAAGAAGGCGGCCCGGTGAGTGGTTAGTGCGTCGACCTCATAGTGCAGAGGTCGTGGGTTCGATCCCGGCTCTGGCCTCCCTGTGTGGAGTTTGTATGTTCTCCCTGTGCCTGCGTGGGTTTTCTCCGGGGTACTCCGGTTTCCTCCCACATTCCAAAAACATGCGTGGAATGGCAGGCTGATTGAACACTGTAAATTGTCCCTAGGTGTGAATGTGAGCGCGGATGGTTGTTCGTCTCTGTGTGCCCTACAATTGGCTGGCGACCGGTTCAGGGTGTCCCCCGCCTAGTGCCCGAAAACAACCGGGATAGGCTCCAGCACGCCCCACGACCCTTGCGAGGATAAAGCGGATCGGAAAATGGATGGATGGATGGATGGATGGATGGAAGAAGCAATCAGCAAAAAATTGGCAAATAATCACAATTTAATAATGGCTCTGTGAAGGGGACAGTTTTGCCCTGAGCCAGACAGTTGATGGCAGTTTAACCCTACAATAGACACCTAAGTAAGTTTCTACAATAGTGATTTTTTTTTTGCTTCACCTTGGAACAGGACTGAGTATTTGTTTCACCTTGGAACAGGACAGTAAGTGGACAGTTTTATCCTGAACCGGGCAGTGAAACATTTTCAAATGCTGACATAGTTTCACCCTGGAATCAGAATTTATGGATTTTTTTTTCCCCCCCTCTGGAATAGACCTAAAATGAACGCTAAATAGTTACAACAGTTTTATGCAGGAACAGACGGTAAAAGGAGCTTCTCTGAAGGTGACAGGATTATTTCTCTGGGTTCGAGTTAGCGCATCGCGGTGCAGATTGTGAGAAGTTTCATGTTGTATTTTCTTTATTTACAGTAGCGTAGGAAGCCGCTTCATTGCGCGGCGCTTGTTGACGTCTTTACACCTGCGTCCATCTATTTACTGAGCGCGTTAAATGGTACATTTACGGCACGTGTGGACATAAATCACAATTTCGCTGCAGGAGGACGGTTTGTGTCGCAATCCGATAGAATAAAGCGACTCAGGTTTTTTTTTTTTTTTTTTTTTTTTTTTTGCGCGGAGCCCATTTTTCCTCCCATTCCGCGCTCATTACAGCGCGTAATAGCCTTTCTCCCGGAAGGAGAGTGTCATCAAACTTCTCATTTCTTCCTCAGACCCGGAGACCATTTTGCCGGTGGATGTTGCCGACACTCGTCCTCACTTTCTCATCATTGTCTTTAAGTGAATGCTCGAGCGTGCGCCGTTTCCCTGCTGTGTTGCGGCTCATCATTCGCCCACTCACTATATCGCGGATTTTGAAGTCATTGGTTTTTGTGGGTTTCGAATTGTGAGCGTTTGGCGTGTAGTACCATGTTGTGCCATAACATGCGGTGCCGCAATGAGCTCAACTGGAGGAGATGTCATGAATAGAAAATGAAGGACAAGATGCAAATTAAGGGACAAATACAAAAATATTAAAAAAAAAAAATACACCAATATTCGACCAAAAATAAACATGCTAGATACATTAAAAAAAACTGACCAAAAAAAAAATCTAACTTCATTGGGCATGGGTGTGTAGAACAATTACCACAATATCAAAAGAATATATAGCATTAAAAAAAAAAACTACGACCATTACAAAATTTACCAATCTATTTGAAAAAGCACATGAACATGTAAAAAAACATGAAAAGAAAAAATACTGTGGGGAAAAAAATTCAATGTTTGACATAACTACACAACAATTTTGGATCCAGAAATATGAGAAAACCCATTAAAAACATTTGACAAAAAAAAAAAAACTTCAATGATCTTAAATTATCAAGTCACATGACTGAAACATCGACACTAATATAGATTTTTGAAAATAATGCAAACTATTCAACACGAAATAGAAAATATTAGCAGCAAAAAAAAAAGAAGATTGCAGTGAGAACAGAAATAGAACAAAACTACAATCCAAAAATTTTTTTGGACAGTTTAGCCTGCAAAGTTCAAATTTCTCAGATGTACCCCGGAATTAAAAAAAAAAAGGTTCTTCTTTAATGACGTGCAAGTATGGCAGTCTCCTGCTTGCATCCCGTTCAAAGTATGCAATCCACACACTGTAGCAAGTATCGTGGGTGGCCATGTTGGGGCGAAAGGGGGGTGTGGGGGGGACTTAAGCGGCAGATACCTTATGAGCTTAGTGCCACTAATGTGCTTTTGTGTTCCCGAGAGCCGTGACTGGAGGCCGGTGCAGCGCGATGCTGTCCACAAACTTCCATCTGTGTTGTGACTGCGTGCCGGCTGCAGTGTAAACACAGCGGGGTCCTCCTGAAAGTCCAGTTGCTCTGCTGAAGTTTTGTGCGGGGTGAGGGCTCATTTTTACCGTTGATTGCATTCAAATATTACACCATGTATGCGCATTTGGACTGCACCGGAAGAGATTCAGCCTAATTCTAGTATGAGCAAGAAGAGACAGAGAAGGTCCCCAACTAAACTCGAGTCATGGTCGTTCCCAACAGATCAGAGAAGATCCGCCTGTGAGTGGTTTTGCTTGCCTTGTTTGTGTCTGTGTACGTTAAAGGAGCAATTTGTGAGTTTAGAATTGCAGCTTAACACCTCCAGAATGCGTATGTTTGTTAGCCTGGCTTTGGTGTCTGGCGATGCACGTTAGCATTAATCTCGCGAATTTTATTCATTTTAAATAGATTTGTTGAACAATTTGGGTGAGTAATGTACAATATTTAGTATTTTGTTTGCGGTTTGACAGTAAAATTAGCCTGGGGCTGAGAAATAATATTGGGGAAAAAAATAGTATGCATCTGTATTTGTAAAAATAAAACGGCAAAACATTTTAAACATCAGGGAGGGCGACCAACTCCCCCTCCTCATCGGTACCGCTCATTTAAGGAAGTACAATCACTCTCTCGTTTCTTTCGCTCTCTTCCTGCCGAACGACCGGAGCGTCGCTCAGCTGGCGTGCACTCCAGACGTGACACAGAGCGCTGTTGTGCGCCGCGGGGCTGCGTTGCACCGACCACTCGGTTTGCCGCACGTGAACCTTCCTCTCCCTTCAGATCCTTTGCAACGTTTTCTGCTCCTGCGGCGGAGCAGCCGACAATGCATCACAGAGGGGAACGCTTGTTTTGCCGGCTTTATTTGCCGCACATACGACGACAATTTCCAGCCAGGTCCGAATCGGAACAAAAGATGAATTTCTCATCAGGCTCTCTGGAGAATTTTAGACTGCAGTAATGCTCAAAAAATGAGGGAACATGTGAAAATACAAAAAGAAGTAAAAGTGTTTTTTTGATTGAAAAAAAGTGCATGAATATTGAGGGTGGGGGAAATGTATTGGACAAAAATACACAAATATAACTCAAAATTTCACACATATTTAACAAAAAAAGTTTTTGGATGCCAAATGAACAAACTTTAAGAAACAAAAAACCCACAACAGATAAATTCTAATCCTGCATTATAAATAAAATTGTTAGTGCAAATATAATAATAAAAAAAGATTTGAAAAACCTCCAAAATATTGGACAAAAATGCACAATTATTTGATACCGTTTT